GTCCTTGCCCAGACTCGGTTTAGTTTAATTGTTAAATGTAATTGCATCAGATTGTACCTAATATTGGACAGGTCGGCAGCTGCATCTAGAACCAGATACATATAGAACATTGCATTTGACAAATTCTTAGTTAACTGATGATAACAAAAAAAATCAAGAGGATGACATAAGAGAGAATGATAGAAATTATCAACCTAGGGGGTTGAAAAACAGGAACATCTGTTGAGCCATTTCTCCTGGAAATTAAATAAATATAGCGACCACTCAACCAATTAGTTAGTTTAAATATGTTTGTTTTCCATCAGTGAAGAGTGGTTTCTTCCATGGTACAAAGGACCGTCCTCAAGGTTGATCTTTCATGTCAAAAATGCAAGAAGCAGCTCCTCAAAGCAGTTTCTGCACTCCAAGGTAAACTCGGTTTCATCTTTTTCGTTTTCTGGTTTCATCATCTTAAACAATTCTCAAATTTCAAAATCAATCTAATCTGTTGATTTTAATTTTTATAATAAACGAGATAAAAGGTAGGTCAATTAATAACCAAAGGTGGGAATTGTTTTGATCATCTTGAACTCATTCCAAAATCAGGTGTAGATAAAATTGAAGCCGATGCAGCTAAGGGGACACTCACTGTAACAGGTAATGCAGATCCATATGAAATTATAATCCGTACAAGAAAAACCGGAAAATTTGTAGAGGTTGTGAGTATTGGGCCTCCTCCACCTCCACCTAAACAAGATCGGCAAAAGAAGCCCGAATAAAAGGCCCCCATCCATCTCCACAACCCCTACAGCGGCCCTTTATGTGACCGAATGACTGTTGTTCATGTAGGTCGCTATCAGGATCCCACCACCGGATGTTCTATTTTGTGACTTCTATGTTATTACCCTTTATTAGCCTGTAAATTGTTTCCTATTATATTGGTTATGCCAATTTTATTGTTTTTGGGACTGTGATGAACTAAAAATTGTGTAATACCATGTTCCAAATTTGAAATGATAATTATGCATGAAAATGTTTAATTTATACTGCACTTGAGAGTGTTTGATTGACTCAACAAATACTACATAGCTATAATCAAATAGTTATATTTCCATATGACATAAACTTCAGTATCTTTTCTACATCATATCGGCTGCTCTAAGCATATGATATATGATTAGGCTTTTAAACTTCCTAAGGTCACTTTTTTTACTATATGTTTAAATTCAAACAATTTGTTACTTGGGGTCTCTTCTAGTGCAATTTGTGAGTGTGAACAAGCAAATATGAACAAGTATGAAGTAAATTGCACAAAGTAAAGAGAGAAGGGAAGAAAGATGCAACCATAAGCGAATGTATAATGGTTTGGCCCCAATCCGGCCTACATCCACTCCTCGAAGCTTTCTCCCTTTGAGTATTTCACTATCTCCTTTGGTTGATCACCCAACCAAGCAAATCTAATACAAACAACTTTCCTTCAAGTGCTATTGAACTTTTACACACAATTGCTTCATAAGATGCAATTGAAATCTCACACATACACACTAAGACATACTTTCTCTCACTAGAATTGCTTAGAAATCCGAGAGTCACTACAAGAAAATGTGCTTTTTGCATCTAGGTGTATAGTCATTGAAAGTTCTGATTTAGTTGCCGATTACATTTTGCATCTATTATAAAGTAGTCGCACGTTTATCGCAGAAACATTGTCGTGGAAAGATATGGCAACTAATTTCAAATAGTTATTGAACATTGCTTTTAGCAACTAAAAATTTAGTTATTATTTATAATTAAAATAGTTGCAAGTTATCCTGGACAATTAGATGCAAATGAACGCAATTAGCAACTAAAATAATTAGACGCAAATGAACGCAATTAGCAACTAGAATAGTTAGATACAAATGAACACATGTATGTGTTTGCTGGTTTTTGGTTTTAACATTAATCCTTTTGTTATCAAATTTCTTGTTTTTATATCTACTACATAAAAAAAAATGATACAATATCACAATTATTTGAATAATATCATAATACCAAATTATGTAACAATTGTTAGGAAAATATATGTTTTCATTGCTAAACAACTATATTTACGTATGATAAAACAGTGAAAATTTCTCTCAAATAGTAAGATGAACAAGTGTATAGCCCAAAATAACCCAATCTACAAGATTACAAATGAAATGCACGTAGCAAGGGTATGTGTTAGAATATGAAATTTGCAAGTGAAAGCTCAAAAAACTTTGATTGAATGTTTTTGTTTTGGTTAATATGAAAATTTTGGAGTGTGCAAAAAATGTTTCAGAAAGGGTTTAGTTGGATTTATATAGAGGAGTACAAAATAAAGTCATTATGTCTAAAAACAGACTTTGAAAATCACAGGAACCAGTTGATCGTTTCCAATTCAATTGACCAAGTCTGATATGACGCGGTTAGCACCTGTATGGTGCACACGTGGCACTAGCCGTTAGAAACAGCTAAGCCACATCCGGTCGACCATACCAACTGGGCAAAATGGGGTTTGCTTGAATTCAAATCCAAAAGACAATATGGTCGATCAGATAGGGGTAAAAAAGTGTAAGTTTTCAAACCGTGGCAAATATCATTTACCTCTAAAACTTTAAAATATGATATTTAAGCCCCTTAATGAAACCCAAAAACCTGATGCATAATCCGTTTGACCAACTTGGGTTCAACTACAAAATATGAAAATTTGGCATATTTTAATTAACCCCTGAGTTTGAAAAGTAAAATTTTGACTCAAATCCAAAAACAAGTTTTTGAGAGCTTTCAGATGCACATGACTTTTCTAACCCAGACTCATGTTTAATACAATTGAAGATGATAACAAACAAACTATCTAGACTTAGCTTTCTTGAATTCTTCCAAATTCTTAATCCTAGCTCTGTCTTTTACCTCTCTAATATTTATTTGAATGCTTTGGGAAGTTCCTTGTCATATAAATCTAAACTTGAGCACAAGTCATTAGTAATAATGCTTAGAGACATATTAGTTTGTTATCATTAAATTAAGAGCATGATGACTCATTGAGTTTATATAACTTACGACGTGTTAGCATTAATTATAAGGAAATAATTTTTTTTATTTGTTTAATCAACCTATAATTAATGTGATACGAACGTATCATCAACCATGTTATTTGGGACAAAAAGATGTTGCAAAAAAAAATATAAATATTAATAATAATTAAGAAACCTTCAAATAGTTTTAAAATCGTTAGAATGCTTGAGACTTGCAATTTTTTAGGAGGAATGAAATGGCTCATGAAATGGACCAAGTAGGCATAAGTTTAATATTTTGGGCATGGAGTCCCAAGGTTTGAGCCTTGCTGCTCCATTTGTCATAACGTCAAAGAGTATCATATCCCTTGTGAATATTAATTTGAACAATAATACTATATTTACAAAGAAATTTTACAAATTTGCATACAAAGTGAGGTGACAAAAAATGAATAGAAAAGTGAAATAAAAAATCAAACTCATTAAATTCACTCTTCCATTCATTTTTTACCACATCACTTTGTATGAAGACCTTTGTAAAATTTCTTTGTAAATGTAGCATTACTTTAATTTGAATCTGGGTTAGAGGTTTTAGAAATTCATTTCTTTGTCCATCCGTAGCGGAAGATTTACCGAAACCAGACTTTTTATTTATAATCGAACTCATTTTTCATTTTATATTATTATTAGGCAATCAATAAATAAACGAGATCTAATCTAAATAACACTCACCAAAATTTGAATGCTAAAACACAAAACCATACTGCCCATAGCCCATATTTCACTATTCACACAACCACACAGGCAGTTAAGTTATAATAATATTATATTTACAACAAAATCTTTCAAAGATTTTCATATAAAGTGGATGACAAAAAAATAAAATAAAAAATCAAATTCATTAAATTCATTCTTCCATTTATTTTTTTACTATATGATTTTGTATGAAGGTCTTTGTAAAATTTATTTATAAATATAATATTATTGGTTAAGTTTTCACTTCACTTCACATCACAACACACAGGCCCTTAATTAGCAAACAATAATCTGGAGACTATATATGTATCAGATATCATCAAAAACCAGAACAGATATTAATCTAAAATATAATAAAAAAGCTGATCTTCAAAAATCAGAAAAATAAATAAATCCAAAACAGATAATCGAAAATCAGTATGCTCAGCAGTCAGTACATTACATATAAACTATATTTAAAAGGATAAAATAATGAAACTAAAAGTCAACACTTTAACTGAAATAATATTAAAGAATGAAAATAATTTGTTAATTAAAGAGTAAGGGCAATATCACTAGCACTTTCTATATACATCATTGAATTTCACCATTTTAGTGTCTTTTGAAATGAGAGGAAGAATGCCTTTTTATATTACTTAAGATAAGACAAAATATTGAATTTTACCATTTTTTTCCACCTTTTCACTTTCCAATTCTTAAAGCCTCTTCCNCCCACTCTGAAAAGAAAACTGTGATTATGGTAATTAGGACTGGATGAAAGCCCTTAACAAGAGCTTACTTTCAAAAAAGTTGGATGAAAGCCCTAACAAAAAGCCCAGTTTCCAAAAAAGTTGAAAAACGCTGCACCAGCCGGGAATCGAACCCGGGTCTGTACCGTGGCAGGGTACTATTCTACCACTAGACCACTAGTGCTTACTTGTTGTTAAGAGAAACTTTAATTAATTTATAAATTATTAAACACTTTTAATTATTTCTGTGGCCGAACGCTGCACCCACCCATAGTTTTCTATAAAGATAAGTTGGTAAGCAACAGGTTTGAAAATGACAATTACCCACTTTCGTCTAAATCTGTTAGTAAAATTTGTTTCAATAAGGATAATATAGTAATTTTATATCTATTAATTTTAAATTAATCATAAATCCCTAATTTTTTTTATCTTTTTTTTTATTTCATTTATCTCTTCTCTCCCTTATCTTCTTCTTCATCTCACCCTTCTCTTTCTTTTTTTTGCTCCGTCTTTTCCCTCCTCCCCTTCTCTTTTTTCTATTTCCTCTGTGTCTTTAATTTGCTTACTCTGTACTTGTGTGAACAGGGTCAGGTGCAGAGAAGAAGGATTCAGCTGCAAAAACCTCTAAACTTTTGGACGGATCATCTGAATTTGTTCTCACCTATGAAGATAAAGAGGGAGATTGGATGCTTGTTGGAGATGTCCCTTGGGGGTATGCATATATTATTCAAGAAATTGTCCATCTATTATGTTGATAATTTGTTTCGGTTCTTTCGAATGCTAATGTTGTGTGTTCCTTATTGTGATCAGGATGTTTCTCTGCTCAGTAAAAAGGCTTCGTATCATGAGAACCTCTGAGGCTAATGGACTTGGTATGCAAATGTGCCTCAAACATTCTTGTATTTCACTACTCAGTTTTTTTTGTTTTTTTTTCTTTTCTCCCTTCGCCATCTAAGTCGAGTAAATCATTTAATTTCAGGTCCAATATTCCAAGAAAGGAATGAGAAACAAAAAGCTAAGAAAAGACAAAGAAGGGGAGGAGAGAAAAGACAGAGAAGAAAAGGAAAAAAGAGAAGGGGAGGAGGGAAAAGACGGAGAAGAAAGGAAAGAAAGAGAAGCGAAAAGAGGGAAAAGAAAAGTAAAACAAGAGAAGGAGAGGAGGGAAAAGACGGAGAAAAAAAAAGAAAGAGAAGGGAGAGATGAAGAAGAAGATAAGGGAGAGAAGAGAAAAATGAAATAAAAAAAATTAGGGATTTATGATTAATTTAAAATTAATAGATATAAAATTACTATATTATCCTTACTTAAACAGATTTTACTAACAGATTTGGACAGAAAATAGATAATTGTCATTTTCAAACCTTTGGAGTACCAAATTTGGGTGGGTGGATGTGCCTATTGCTATTCGTAGTAAATCAATAGTTTACAAATTGCTTAATTGGCATTACAAATAACTAATTCTAACTTCTCATTCAAGTCCATTGGATTACAGTGAAACAAGGCCTGAAATTTATGTAAAACTTAATTTCATAATTTAAGTATTTTATATTTGCATCAAATACGGTAGAATTTGTGTTATGAATTGAAATATTCAATAATAATGATTTGTATTGGTTGAAATATTATTTATGACAGAAAAATGCTTGAAAATAAGAATATCTTCATGTGGATTTGGTTTGATGCTCGTAGAGTTGTGTTGATAATTGTTGAAATTTTCTAGAATTTCATAGAATATAAAACCAAAGTTTTCCTTCCAATTCAACAACTTTTGGGGTCTTAAACATGTAATCTATCATAGAAATAAGCATCCCTCTGATTCGGATGCAACTGTAGTTATCCTCACATAAGCATATTCCAAGGTGCTTTTGTCAGATTTTTTTAAGTGTTATAGCCGTTAGAAAGGCGACTCTCTTAAATTCTTAGTATGAGAAACAAGCAGAAAATACAAATTAACCGAAATTCATTGATATAAAAATTCAGAACCCATCTCTATAAACAGTAGGATTGTAAGTATGAACAGAAAACAATGGCATGTGGTAGGTGGAAATGAGGAGAAAAAAGAACTAATCCCATAACCATAATGGCTGTTCATGTATGAAATGGGGGCTTTTTCGAGGCTTAATCCAAGTTCTATATAATTTGTGTGATCTTATGTTACAAGCTACCTCACATGTTGCTGCAAGTCAATAGGTGCTTGCTTACGCTCCAGTATTGGAACTGAGGTGCGGCGAGTACAAATTTTCAACCATAACTCTTCGCAATTATTGAGTATTTTCTAACGTAAATGAGGAACTTGAGACTTTCATGAAAGTTGAGAAAAATCGAACAATTGAAACATTAAAATATTTATGAAAACCATAAAGTTTCTTTTAATTTTCAAGATCGAAAACCATAAAGGTTTGAACAAACAATGGACATGCTATTTACAAGGGGGAAGCGGAGATCCACAGAGACCGGGATTATTTTTGAATGCAGATACAGGAATATTAGCTTTATGAGGAGGAATCCTGCCACTCAGTCTATTGCTAGACACGTCAAAATTTTGAAGTTTTTTCAGATTCATCACATTCTCCGGGATAGTTCCACTTAGCTTGTTCTTTGAAAGCAAAATAGTTGTCAATTCCTTAGCATCACCAAGCTCAATTGGTATCTTCCCGGAAAGACTATTGCCTTCTAGCTCCAATACTTGCAATGAACTCAGTTTTCCAAATGACTTTGGTATTGGTCCCCCAAGTGGGTTGTGGGATAAAACCAAAGATTTGATATCAGTCATTGTAGGGATCTCACCAACATTATCATCAATTGGACCAATGAACATATTGTTAGAAAGATCAATGGAATTAAAATGGCCTAGTGGGTCCTGGGTTTTTTTTGAGAAAATTGTCTTCATGTGACCAGTAAACTTGTTGGAATGAAGATCGAGGTCCATTAGAAGTGAAAGGTTTTTGAATTCAATGGGGATTGATGAGTAAAAGCCATTGTTTGAAATATTCAAAAATGAAAGGTTGGTCATGTTCCCAATCCAATGAGGCAATTTACCTACCAAACCATTGCTTGATAAGTCCAGCATGGATATGGATGATGAAGATAACCAACTTGGAAGCTTCCCTTCAATCCCAGTCTTTGCCAACATTAGCCGAAATAATTTCATTTTTGGAAACCACTTTGGTATGCTAACAATTCCTAGAGGATTGAATGACAAATCCAAATACTGTAACCTTTGCACTTTAGCTAGCTGAGGAGGAATTGGCCCGGAGAGTTGGTTTCTTGACAAATCCAATGTTTGAAGGTTTTGTAAATTGCCAAAACTTGAAGGAATCTTGCCTGAGAAATGGTTGTTTGAAAAGAATATATCAGTGAGTGTAGCTAGACGGCCAATGGTTGCTGGTAACTCTCCAGTGAGCCTATTGTTCTCAAGAATTAGTCTTTGGATATTCGAGAGCATGCCGATTGATGCCGGTAAACTTCCCGTTAGCTTGTTTTCTGATAACCGGCAGAACTGAAGTGAAATAAGCCCAGAAATTGAAGAAGGAATGCTTCCGGAAATCTGGTTTTGATTCAAATATAAAAGTACTAATGAAGAAAGTTTACCAATGGAATGTGGAATGCTTCCTGTTAATTTATTCGCAGACAAATCAAGATAATTCAGGTTACTGAGTTCACCAATTCCAGCTGGAATACTTCCAGAGAATTTGTTCCCATGAACATCAAGTTTAGTCAACATTTCCAGCTTGCCAATAGTATTTGGAATGGAGGCAGATAATTGATTCCCAGATAGACCCAACTCAGAGAGTGATGTCAGAGTTCCAATAAGAGAAGCAGGAACACCGCCGGATAAATAATTATCATCAAGATAGAGCTTCTCCAGTCGAAGAAGGTACTTGAAGGTCATTGGTATTGAACCTTTAAGTTTGTTGGAATTAAGAAAGAGATGCGTAAGATGAGATAACTTGCCAAATTCTGGTGGTATTAGACCCTTCAACTCCTTGAGATCGCTCAAGTCTAGCAATTGAAGATTGGATAAATTTCCCAGAAAAGGAGATAGAGTTCCCGTCATGTAAGTGTCCACAATGAAGTCGCTCTCAGAAAGAAGGCCTGGACGCGAGACATTAACGACTCTTTTTGAGGAATCACAGGATACACCTTCCCAATCAGTGCAACAATCGGAGGAAATATTCCATGACAGCAATAGATTAGACGGATCAGAAATGATTTGATGTTTGAAATGGAGTAATGCTTCTTTGTCAACTGCATTACAGGCTTCAGATGAAAGTAACAAGAAGAAGGGCGAGAAGAAAAGGATAACGACTGTTAAAGATAAATCCATTGATGTTTTGAGAGTTGAAACCAAAAAAATGGGTGTTGAAGAAAGATAAGTTTGTCTGTAAGTGAGGTTTCTGTTTATTAGTGGAGTAGGAGCGCCAGAGGGCTAACACATGTAATGTAAATAAGTAGACGTTACGATCAAAGGGCAAACGTTGATGATAGCAATGTAATGTGCAATTCCACCTGTTCAAGGGCAAGGCAACTGAGGCAATTGCCTTCGGCCTCCCCTTAAGGCTTTTAAAATATATATTTAGTAATTTTTAAATTTAATTTAATCTTCTTCATGAATTAAGGCAAATAAGTCCATATTGTATCATTGAAATTAAATTAAATTAATATTATTCATTAAAACGGTCACCTTGAATTTAATATAATATGTTAGACATGTTTGTGGCCATTAAGCAACCTCATGTAACGTGGGAACCATCGACCAACTTGTTCATTCATTATGTATGGAATTTTACTAATACTTCAATTTATATTTTAAGATATTATTATGTAATATTTGTTGTAAAAGTAGTTGTAGTATCTCAAAGTCAAGATTTGGATAGTAATATACAAGAGTTTACTTGTGTTGTGTGTAATTTTTCCATCAAGCTCAGAGAAGTCAGAGGTCAGCGAGGTTGTGGCCCGATTCAGAATCAGCTTGACTCAGTCGATTGTCCAACCCAACATAAGATCGTCGAGATGTAGCTCGACCCCAACTTAAGCTAGTCACAACTAATCTCGATAGTTGTTCAACTAGTTCACAGATAACCTCAGATCTCAGATATCTCGGAAGGGATCAGATCAACATTAATTTTGGCATAATCTCAGCGCTCAACCGCAAGAATATTGGAGTTGTATTTCAATCTTAATTGTAATCCCCTTATTTTTCGCTCTTTTCTTTGTACAAAATCTGTCTATAAACCTCTTCCAATGATGAGAAAAGGTTAGCAAATTGTTCTAAGATTATTATTCTAAGCTTTCACAACAAATACAAAAACAGTGGACGTAGGCTCAAGAGTATTAACTCGCCGAACCACTTTAAAAACTCTTTGTGTCATTTACTTTACTACTTTTGATTCGTTACATTGCTAGTTACCTGTAATCACACACACATCGGTTCCGATTCCTTCAAGGTCAATCAGATCGCTCTAGTTGGTGCAAAATCTTGTATCAATATTTTGGCGCTAGAAGGAGGGCCTCTGCTAAATTTCAGAATTTCTGACAAACAATCTCAGTGACCCGATTACTCAAGGCCTACAATGGTTCGTACAAGATCAAAAATCACTACCGAAAACCATGACAACATGGAAACCACCCACCAGGAGGTGCATCAAGATGTCGTTGGGTGTTGACAACTAGTGTCGTTGATGCAGCAGGTTGCAAACCAGCAAGGGGCAGGGATGTTGAATCCCAAGAATGGTCAACTGGTGGAGATGATCAGAACAATGGTTGCACAGGCAGTGCAACAAAACGTGGTTGAGTTGAGAAACTAGCAATCGGCCCCTTAAGACCTTGACCAACCGTATTTCACCGATGTCGCCCCAACAAGTCAGAATTCAGTCAGTGACAAATTTGGTTCATCGACACCGAGGAACGGTCGACGATCCCGGCACCGCCAAGCACATTCCATCCATGAATGAGAGTCACGCGGGCAAACTAACCTTAGGCGTTGACCAGGCAAACAACCCATAAGGGAGGATGAAGATAATGGTCGCTAGAGGGATACTCGACCTGCTCGATGATATCCCCAACCTCAGTATGCCGGTTTTAACCCACACTAAAGGCAAACTAAGACCTCGCAAGCTCGCGAGATGAGTCATGTGCGCCAATCTAGTAATGATCGATGTTTCGATTTTAACCAACATATCGAGCAATGCACTAATGAGTATGATAACACCTACTAGCCCAGCCATCATGACTCAACCTCGCGCATCAATGCGTACAATGGAGGGGGCTCTTAAGCAACATATCTGCAAACTCACCTACTCAAGGTAAGGTTGAATAGGGCCAACCAGGGCAATCCCCATAATGAATGCTCGACGATCTAAGAGCCCGCCAGAATAATGCGATGGAAGAAATAGTGAGCTCTCCATTCATGGACGAAGTTCATCAAGCCCCGCTTCCCAGGGGTTCAGGGCGACAGAAAGCAAGTTCGACAGGAAAGGAGATCCTAGAGACCACTTTGACTCTTTCAACGACTTGATGGAGATACATCAAGTCTGTGACCTGGCAAAATGCCGCTGTTTTACGGTCACATTGGTAGGAGATGCCAAGAAGTGGTACAAGAGGCTCAAGGCGAACTCAATTAGTTCTTGGCAACAGTTCTCCTCACTATACCTACAGCAATTCCAAGTAATGAGACAATTCGCAATGCCGCTTAGCTATCTGAGCAATATTCGTTAGGAAAGGACAAAACACTGACCTCGTATTTGACGAGATTCTAAAATGAGCAAGCAAAGGACGCGGATGCACCTGAAGAGTCAATCCGGACTTTGCTAATTGCAGGTATCAGGCCATAAACAAACCTATGGAAAGAGCTCCAAAGTGAAGACCATGTGAGCTTGACGAAACTCTATCAAATGGTTGTTAAACATCAGCAAGTAGAAAGGTCGCTAGCAGTCCTAGCTAGAATCTTGCCCCGAAGAGCCCTAGACAGGCAACAAGATTGCCCAGTAGATAAACGGAGGGACCAAGACCGTAATGACAAGGACTAGAACCGGTTCCAAAAGAGGTAGAAAACAGAGAATCGCTGGGAAATGCAACCTTTTTCGTGATATACAAAGTACACCCTCTTCACTCAAGAAATGGCTCATATATATGAAGTCTCCAGTGAGGCTAAGAGACTGCCCGCTCTAAAAAGGATGAGGGGGCTCTGGGCATAAGAGATTGTCAGAAATATTGTCGATATCACTAGGACATTGGGCACAACACCAATGAGTACCGAGCTTTAAAGGATGTCATCGAAGAGATCTAAAGGGGCCACCTAAAAGAATTTGTCAAGGAGACACCAGCTCGCGAAAGTACAGGCGAGCAGAATAATCAAATCCAGCAAGCCTCGGCCAACAACGAAGCCCTGGTAGGCATGATCTATAGGGGTCCCGACATTGCAATGAGCTCAAGGCACTCTCGTGAGCAACATGCAGGTGAGGCTAGGATAGACTCGATCCTCCGAGTAATGAGTTGTGAATAAAAGTCGCCAAAGTGGCCCAGGCAAGAGAGCAAGGTGATAGGATTCACCGTGGAATAGTATGAAGAATCTATTCGCCACAATCATGATGCGATCTTAATTGCAGCTAGGATCGGCAATGTCCGAGTACTCAAGGTGATGGTCAACAATGGCAGTACAGCAAACATTATTTTCTTGGGAGTTTTCTAAGAAATGAGGTTCACAGGGCGACACCTAAAGGCGTGTCCATTGCCGCTCTATGGATTTACCAAGGGTAGCCTAGTCCCCAAGGGAACAATCGACCTGCTCGTGACCCTAGGGGCAGAACCCAAGATCAGAAGGGTGATGGCAGAATTCTTAGTAGGGGATTGCCTGACCACTTACAATGTCATTCTTGGAAGACCGATCTTGGATGATCTGAGTGCAGTCACCTCGATACATTGCCAAGCAATGAGATTCCTAACTCCAGATAGGGTTGCAACAGTCAGGAGCTATAGGAAAGAATCTCGAGAATGTTACAACTAGGCTATTCATGTTGCATTAAAATGGTTGCTCGCAAGAACTAGTCATCGCTGAGTCCAAACCAAACCCCAGGCCTCTAAAAGACACCGTAGATCCTTGCATCCACAAAGAAGAGCCCACAGCGAGGCCAACAGAAGAGCTACGAGAAGTATCTGTCAGCGGGGAAGACCCAACTCGCGTGCTGAAAATTGGCAACAGTCTGAGCGACGAACTAGCAAACAATTTGGTAGGATTCCTAAAGAAAAACCTCGACGTTTTCACTTGGGTACATGCAGATATGGAGGGGTCAATCTCAAGGTAATGTGTCATATATTAAATTTTGACCTAACAGCTCGACCAATTAGATAGAAAAGAAGATCTATGGATGCAGAGTGGTCCAAAGCACTCAAAGATGAAGTTGACAAGCTTCTGAACATCAACTTCATCAAGGAAGTAAAATACTTGGATTGGCTCATCAACCCGGTTTGGGTGAAAAGTTCAAATGGCAAGTAGCGAACTTGCATCAACTTCACAGATCTGAACAAAGCATGTCCTAAAGACAGCTTTCCACTACCTCGGATCGACCAATCAATAGATGCAATAGTTAGGAACACAGTACTAAGCTTCATGGATGTATACTCGGTATACAACCAAATCTCGATGTATCAGTCCAATAAAGAATACACCTTATTTATTACTGACCGAGGTATTTACTATTATAAGGTAATGTCATTTAGCTTGAAGAGTGATAGAGCGACCTATCAGCATTTGGTGAACAAAATATTCCCTGAGCAAATTGGCAAGACAATAAAGGTGTACATAGATGACATGCTCGTCAAATCGAAGATCATCGAAAGTCACATTAAGCACCTGAGGGAAATGTTCAACATCCTCAGAAAATACAGAATGAGACTCAACCCTCTGAAATGTGCTTTCAGAGTAAGCTCGAGAAAATTTATGGGTTTCTTTGCTAATTAGCAAGGTGTTGAAGCCAACACAAACAAGATTCAAGTTCTCTTGAACATAAAGAGCTCGACCAGCATAAAGCAGGTTCAAAGCTTGACAGGGCGTGTGGCCACACTTAGCAGGTTTATCTCCCGAGCTACAAACAGGTTTCTACACTTATTCAAAACCCTGAAGGGAAATAAATGATTCAAATAGACAGAGGAGTGCGAGAAAGCATTCCAGGAACTAAAGAAGTACTTGGGGCAACTCCCTCTTTTGTCAAAGCCCAAGAACCTTTACTTATGTGTTCATCGGTATCTAAGTTCGTGATCAACGCGACTTTGATATACAAAGAGGGAGGAGTGCAATGGCCGGTGTATTATGTGAGCAAGAGGTTGTTCAACGCTGAGACAAGATACCTCGAGATGGAGAAGCTCACATATACACTAGTCATC